ACGAAAACTAGTTCAGTTAAAGTAATTCTGAGAGGAAAATACACGAGTGAACTGGATTTTGTGGAGGATGTGCATCGTACATGGGACTACATGTGCCACTAAATTAAGGAAGTTAGAGAAAAAGGGAGGAAGATTTTGGTGTATATGGTTCGATGGTCAATTCGATTTATTTAGAATGAAAACTTTCAATGAACAACTAGTGATGAAAAACAGCAAACCGAATGCCATAAACCGAATAACCATGAATATCGGTCAACTCAACTCAGTTCTTCCACTTTCAGTGTCAAAATACTCACCTCTAACCGTAATAGCCGACTAACTCACGACGGACAACACTATGATCACTATGATGTACAACATGCGTCATCCTCTAGTGATCAGTTATAACCCAACTGATGAACACTGTGATGGGATGGTAGTGTAGGAACAGTTGGCCAAATCCAATTATGTGTGTGGTGTTTAACGCCGTACCCGTATAGTAGGGAAGCCATTGATCATAAACCACAGCATGGATTTCTGACGCCTTCATTTCTCACCTGATTGGTACCAAGCTTGTCACAGATGTTTATGTACACAATACACTCAGGGTTCTCGTGTGTTCGACAATTTGTCGTTGCCATGGTCTCACTGTCGTCGTCTCAAGGTCATGGAGGATTTGTGCTGGACCACAGCAAGGGATGCTTCCTTCTCCAAATCGACCAGACTTGAATGGCTGAGGTAGATGGATGGATGCTTCTGCAGCTGGCCGGAAGCCACAACAATAAACCTAACTTGTTGTTCATCATATGTGCAACCCTAAGTTGGTCCTCCAATTTACATCCCACAATCATCGCTTCACTCTTGTCGACATTTATCTTTAGCCCCAACATTACACCGAAACACATTAGGAGGAACTTTAGGTTGATAATATCCACCTCAGAGTATCGATGATAATAAGTGTGTCTGCCCACTAAGCAGAATATCCAATCGACAGTTCACGTCTACCATCGACATGCATGAGTCTCTTGCAATCCAAGCAAAAGTGGGGAATTTTTTTCATATGTGAAATCAAACCATGTCCCTTGCTTATCCTCCGGTGAAGATTCCAGAAAAGAATCCCCTTTTTAGTGGTTCAGTCACCCCCACCTCCACCTCTAACCCGAAGGTGCTTTCCTCGTGCAAACCCATCTTGATCCACATCGACCTTCACTGCCTCTCCTAACCAATTCCGCACAACTTTCCCAAATGTATCACACCTCTTATCAAGTGCAAAGCATCCTACAGACCCTCCCTGTCTGGCTCTACTCCGTTATTTAGACCCAGCTCGCGTTGCTCACCGTCATGTAGGGGACCGCGATGCGCCAAACCACACCTAGCTTGGCGCGGTTTTTCAATCTTGGCATATCCAGCATGCAAGTCTTCAACATCCTCATGGTCACAACCATTATCTTGTTCGCTAGCCTCTATAGGAAGAGTTGCAAGGTGGACGAAAGGACTGCTAGCAATGAGGAAGGCAACATCGACAACAAGATCCACGAGTGACTTTTTGCCTCTCGATGGTCGCATGGATGATGTGGTATTACTTCCTCTCGTTCCATCGTCTGCAAAGCTAGGCTACATTTTCTCTGTAAATAACATTGTTCCTTTTTGTACTGGAGGGATCACAAGGTGATGTTCGGGACATTCAACCTGGACATGAGGTACAACTTTGAGACAAGGAAACACTCAAGAGAAGTAGCCAAATTTAGGCAGGCTTTGTCACACACTAAGGGAACTGACTATAGTTTTGGTTGTATGGTCTGTGCTACTGCGATTCATTTAGATTGATTTTGGACATTGATTATTCTTTTACCTTTCTTATTACTATTTGTTTTTGTTTCAGCAGCAATACCAACATCCTGGGGCTGCATTAGTCTAACTCACTTACTCTCATGTCGTTTGTGTAGATCTTTGTTTTGTCATGTTAATAAAAACGCAAACATGCTACAACTGAGGTGAGCTAATGTAATTTTTATAATGTAGTCAGAGGATAATCCATCTCCATCGTGTTGCTTGTGCATAGGTTTTTTTGGCATTCACTTTTGAATCTCTTATTTAGATACTATTTGTGATCATGTAAGACAGCTAGATATTTATTTTGGTAGCACAATTTATGCAACCCTACATGTTACTTAATAGAATGTTAGAAATGTCACCCGCAAAAAAAAGAATGTTAGAGATGTCCTTTTTTCTCATTGTCAAGCTATTACATACATGTGAAGTTAGAAGGATAAGCAACCTTCAAAGCAGAGCTTTAGGAATTTTCGGTCAAGTGAGCCTCTTTCAGATTTCATGCCTGAACCCAGGTATGCATAAGACAATGTGATATAATTAGCTTCCAAGCCAAGTGGTAGTTGAAAACATCACGAATCTATTTTTTTCTCGAATATGCACGAGTGTGCATATAATATATTAAAGAAGAAAGGCAAAGAGTGACTCCATCATTGGTTACAGGGTTTATATTACATGCTAATCCTCACCACTCACCCACCTCTCTACCCTACTAAAGAAGGAAGTTACATTTCCTTTTAGAAGTCCCGCGGAGGACCAGACCACACCCTCATATCTCACTCTTTGTAATAGTTGCTCGGTCGACGCCCGTGCTCCATCAAAAACAATGGCATTCCCGTGCTTCCACAGCTCCCACAAAACAAGTGCGAATAATGTGCGTAGATCTTTCGTACTCAAATTGTTTGCTTCCCTCTTATCAACGGCCCACTCGGCCAGTACGTCTTGGGGAAAGGGGGTCCATTCTGGTTTGCCCAGCGAGTCGCAAATGCCGCCCAAGTAGTCCGAGCAAATACACACGTGAGCAGTATATGGTTGGTCGTTTCTTCCTCTTGATCGTAGAACGGGCATGCATCCTGGTGAGGTAGACCTCTTCGCGCAAGACGATCCGAGGTCCAGCATCGGTCCTTCATTGCCAGCCAAGTAAAGAATCTGCACTGCAGTGGGGCACGTGACTTCCATGTCAGATCCGCTGTAGAAATGACCTCCCTTCCCCAAAAACCAGCCGCATACGCTGATATGACCGAGAATTGCCCATTTGCCTCCCAAGACCAGGCTACACCATCCGGCAAATCCTCAGTGGCCTCCCAAGCATTAACTGTTTGCCATAGTGATAGAAACTCTTGCAACGTATCTGGTCCAAAGTTGGGGCGTAGATCTATTGCCCAAGACCCGTTCTCCATAGTTGCACTGACCAACCTCGTCCCTCGAGCCCGTGGTGTAACCAGCTCGTAAACCCGCGACGCAATCTCCTGAACTCTTCGCCCATCTAACCATCGGTCCTCCCAAAACAACATTGTCCGGCCAAAATGTGCAGTAGACCGCATGGTTGCCTGACAAAACATCCTTGCTTCTTCAGCAACCTTGATTTTGAATTCATTCCATTGTCGTCTCATCAGTCCTTTTGAGCCATGGCCAACGAGCCTGCATGGCCACATTCATCCATCTTAGGTTGGGTAGCCCCAATCCACCTACCCACTTGGGCATACACACCATTGTCCCATGCAACCGTGCAATTACCACCATTCGCTTCTTCTCTTCTGCACCACAAGAACCCTCAACAAATCGTGTTCATGGTCGCGATAGTTTTCATAGGGAGATCCAGTACTGCCATCATTGCATTAATTGACATGGCGCATAGCACAGATTGCACCAGAGTTAGACTGTCACTCTTCGGCATTAGTGATGCCTTCCACCTTGGTAGTCTATTGGCCATATGGTCAACCAAGTATTGTAGTTGTGATGCTGATTGCTTTCTAAGCGATAGTGGCAACCCGAGATATTTTATTAGGAAGGATCCCAAAGAGCACTGGAGGGCATTGCATGTCATTGTTATCTCCTCCTCGGAAGACCTTATGGGTAGAGTTGTTGATTTGCTCATGTTGGTTCTCAGCCCAGCCGCCTCATCAAACAGCTCCATGATGCACTAGTCATATTATGTCCTCTGTTCTGGATTGTACTTGCATTTTACGCCCCATTTATCATCAATTTCATCTAAGTCATGTCAATTGTTATCGTCTTTATAGAATGCAACGTTCAATTCTTAACTAATTGCCATAATAGTACGACATTGAGAGGTGAGGTCAAGGACTAGACACCATAAATCTATGTCATTGTTTTTTTTTCGAAAAACTTCCAATCTATTCATCTTCAATCATGACCATACAAAAAACAATAGAGGTAATAAAAATCAGTTTGTCTAATTCACATCTAGAATTTTTTAAGGATGTCACATCTAAGCTTCGACAAATATATAATGCATCAACAAAAAATAAAAAAACTAGGACACAAGAAAAATAAACCATAAACAGAGTGGACATCAGTTTAGATGTGACATAGATATCACATCCAGATGTGTTCTAGACAGATCCAATAAAAATTATAACCATGTTCGTAGACCACCTAGCGACGACTATAAGCACCGGAGCGAGTTGAAGACGCGTCACCCCTCCCTGACCGGAGCAGAATGTCAGTCAAGATTGTATAAACACGATAAAAGCAAAGCCAGTCCAGGCAACGATGCTGTGTTGAACAATTTGTCGGTGCCAAGGTCTCACCGTCGTCGTCTCAAGCTCACAGAGGATTTGTGCTGGACCGCTGCAGGGATGCTTCCTTCTTCAAACCGATCAGATTTGAACGGCCGAGGTAGGTAGATGGATGGATGCTTCTGCAGTTGTTGGGAAGCCGCAGCAATCAACCTCGAGACGTATCAATGACTCCAGAGGCGTCCACAACCCGCATACGTGACGGCTCACACCGCTGCCAAAGAACACATCAATCTGAGTGGATCAACACCAGAAGAGCTCCAAGACCGACCCCAACACCAGATCACCGGAGCACCGAAGGAAGGCACAAAGAACATTTCAATTTGATGTATTGCTACACTCGTTGTTAATTTTTTGGCGTGTTTATTCAGTCCAAATAGCAAAGAAGATAATGGCGCATACAACGATCTCTCGGTCTCATTTTCTCGACTAGTAGTCGTCGTCGTCGTAGCCGCCGCCCGCCAGGTCGTCCTCCACCTTCTCCGCCACGTCGTCCTCGAACTTGTCCTCCAGGTAGCTCGCCCCTTCCGCCAGCGCCAGCCCGCCCAGCACCCCCGCCGCCGCGCCCACCGCCAGCCCCGCCCCCATCCCCATCCCCTTCTTCTTCGCAGGGTCATTCATCGACCCCGACCCGTACCCGCCCGACCCGTACGCGGGGGCAGGAGCCGCAGCGCCGTACGCCGGCTGCGCGCCGCCGTAGGCAGCAGGGTACCCGGCGGACTGCGGGGGAACGGCCGCGCCGTAGGCGGCCGGGTAGCCGGACGGCGGCGCGGCGTACGGCTGCTGCTGCTGGCCGTACCCGTACCCGCCCGAGCCGTACGGCGCCGGGGCCGCGTAGGGGTCGCGGGACTGGGACTGGCTCTGGCCGTAGGGCGGCGGGTAGGCGGGGTCGTAGTAGCGGGCGGTCTCGCGGACGGCGACGCGGACGTCGACGCGGCCCTGGGGCCGGCCCGAGGGGCGCTTGAGGCGGAGCGAGCGGGACGCTCGGCCGCCGAGCCCGGCGTCGTCGAGGACGTCGCGCAGCGGCAGGCGCGCGGACCCCACGAGCGGCTTGGTGCCCTCGGCGGCGTTGGCGTGGACGACGTCGATGTGGAGCACCGCGTCCTCGAGGCGGGTGGTGGACGGCGGGAGCGGGACGGTGAGCTTCTCGTCCCACTCGGGGCTCTCGCCGTTGTCCAGGTCGACGCGGGAGGAGCACTTGGGGCCGTCGTCGACCCAGAGCACGGCGTAGGGCTGCAGGTCGCCGTTGCGCCAGTTGACGTTCTTGAGGTCCCGCGCCGAGCCCACCGTCACCTCCACCTCGTACCTCGACCCCATGCTCGCCGTGTCCCTGCCTTCACGCCGTGAAATGGAGGAGCCGAATGCTCTGCTCTGCTGTGCTCTGCTTGGGTGCTGTTGGGTGATGCGGGAGGCGAATGAGCGGGCAGGGTATAAATAGGGGCGCGGGCGGGATCTATCCGGTCGTGCTGTTTCTGGAAGTTCTCTGCCGGTGGGCGGAGGGGCGCCTTGGGACGAACGGGTAAAATGTTACACTATTCAGTTTCGTCGTGTTTATTATCATTTTCCTTCACCAAAACTGCACTGGTTCTACTTTTGCTCATCCAGACGTCAGGCTCACTTTTGGCTTTCTTTGTTACTCCCTCCGTTCCTTAGGCCGGTAAATAGGTTTTCTTTGCATTCATTCAAAACCCATCCAAACTTAGGCCAGTAAATATATAAATGCAAGGATTTTTGGAGCCTCGGCAACACTGCACGGATCTTATGTTTTGCTTGCGCACGAATTGTACTACATGTTCCTTGATTTGCTTTTTTGCCGGCAAGTTTCTTTGATTTGTTCGTACGACATGCGTTTAGAACTGGAACATCCTAGCACCATCTATCCGCACATGTAATCACACCGGACGTTTATCTTTTCTTTGTGATTTGCGATGGGTACTACATGCTTGATGCTTCTAGAAAATGTAAGAACGAACGAATAGGTAACGGCGTGCGAGTTTGACTGCAAGTGTGGCTGGCGCAGACAACGACCGATGGAAGCCGGCGACAACAGCGAGGTTCGCAGCACGTCTCTCCCGATGATGAATCCTGGTCCATCACCACGGCAACAGGGGCCTCTGCTACACCGCCGGACGGGCGACGGAAAGCGACCCGACCAAGATAAGATGAGGCGGGAAAAGCGTTCCAAAGGAGGCAGCGGACCAACACACGGTTTGGACGCGAAACCGCGTCGCGTCAGCACGCCACCAGAAAGCTGGGAATGGCACGGCTTCCCGTGTATCGGCATGACCTTGAATTGCAGAAACAAGCCCGAGAATAAACTGCCAGGTGACTTGGACTGATGAATAAATTCACAACAAGAGGTATTTTTTGCCTAAAAATAATAAAAAAGAGGTATTTACATCAGTGACGCATAAACTTATGATCCATATTCACTTTAGTGTCTGAACTTGAAAAATACATTAAACTGATTATAAAACTTGCCACAAGGGTGGAAATTGACGCAAATCCCTTCACTAGAAGTAAAATATACAGACGTGGCACCTATATGTCGGTTAGCGCGCACAAATGGCGTGAGACCCACTACCAAATGATGGCTTGCTCAGTACAAGTCTCTGACCACTACGCCCACATGTCGGAAGAAAGGAAAATTTTGCACGGAAATGGTGGCTGCTAGACTTAGAACGATGACCTCAAGCTACGCAGGCGGCCAGAACAAGCCACTATGACACATTAAATTTAGCAAATTTTAGATACATTAAAACTGAGCACCCTCCCAGCCCTGTCAGGCCATCAGCATTTTAAATCGTTGGATCGTCACTTCTAGTCGTTTTTGGCCGTCGAATTTGCTCTTAATTGCACCCAAATGGCGCGTAGAGGCTTCATGACGAGTGCTAGCCATCTCGGGCCGCTGCTCCCGTGGATTTTTGGGGCATCATAGATTCAACTGGGCCTACTGGGCCTGTACTCTGATCCCGTCCAGGGCAAAAGTGGAGAACCCAAAACACTGGACGCTCGGGACCTTGATCTCTTTCGCTCGCAGCCGTGGCTGCACCTCCGAACTGGGTGCCGACCGATGCGGGGGCTTGGACTGCTATGGCGACTGCGCTAGATTTCCACCGACACGACGGATTCGCCTACTCGGTCCATTCGGTTGCACGGACGTGACATACAGCGGCTTGTCGATCCTTAGGTTCCATAGCGCAGCTGGATGGTGTGCGGCGAGGAACAGCCATGAATTTATATCGGCAAGGACGCTTTATTGAGAGTTTAATACCAGTAATGCCATTCGATGCTCCGGGCGGGTCAGTTTCCATTGGTGATTCATATTTTTCATTCAATTCATGCAACCCATATAATCCCAACCTTGCCGGTGCTCCTTTCCCACTCTGCTCATTGGCAAACCATTCTCTGGCGCAGCAGCGCTAGGTGATGCTTGTTGGAAATATGCCCTAGAGGCAATAATAAATTGGTTATTATTATTATATTTTCTTGTTCATGATAATCGTTTATTATCCATGCTATAATTGTATTGATAGGAAACTCAGATACATGTGTGGGTACGTAGACAACACCATGTCCCTAGTAAGTCTCTAGTTGACTAGCTCGTTGATCAATAGATGGTTACGGTTTCCTGACCATGGGCATTGGATGTCGTTGATAACAGGATCACATCATTAGGAGAATGATGTGATGGACAAGACCCAATCCTAAGCCTAGCACAAAGATCGTGTAGTTCGTATGCTAAAGTTTTTCTAATGTCAAGTATCATTTCCTTAGACCATGAGATTGTGCAACTCCCGGATACCGTAGGAATGCTTTGGGTGTACCAAACGTCACAACGTAACTGGGTGGCTATAAAGGTGCACTACAAGTATCTCCGAAAGTGTCTGTTGGGTTGGCACGAATCGAGACTGGGATTTGTCACTCTGGTTGACGGAGAGGTATCTCTGGGCCCACTCGGTAGGACATCATCATAATGTGCACAATGTGACCAAGGGGTTGATCGCGGGATGATGTGTTACGGAACGAGTAAAGAGACTTGCCGGCAACGAGATTGAACAAGGTATCGGCATACCGACGATCGAATCTCGGGCAAGTACAATACCGCTAGACAAAGGGAATTGTATACGGGATTGATTGAGTCCTTGACATCGTGGTTCATCCGATGAGATCATCGTGGAACATGTGGGAGCCAACATGGGTATCCAGATCCCGCTGTTGGTTATTGGCCGGAGAGTTGTCTCGGTCATGTCTGCATGGTTCCCGAACCCGTAGGGTCTACACACTTAAGGTTCGGTGACACTAGGGTTGTAGAGATAATAGTATGCGGTAACCCAAATGTTGTTCGGAGTCCCGGATGAGATCCCGAACGTCACGAGGAGTTCCGGAGTGGTCCGGAGGTAAAGATTTATATATAAGAAGTCCAGTTTCGGCCACCGGGAAAGTTTCGGGGGTCATCGGTATTGTACCGGGACCACCGAAAGGGTCCCGGGGGTCCATCCGATGGGGCCACCTATCCCAGAGGGCCCCATAGGCTGAGGGGGCGTGGGAACCAGCCCCTGATGGGCTGGTGCGCTCCCCTTGGGCCTCCCATGCGCCTAGGGTTAGAAACCCTAAGGGGTGGGGGCGCCTCCACTTGGCTTGGAGGCCAAGCCACCCCTAGGGCCGCCGCCCCCTCCCTAGATGGGATCTACAAGGGGGCGGCGCCCCCCCTAGGCCCCTATATATAGTGGAGGGGAGGGAGGGCAGCCGCACCTGAGTCCCTGGCGCCTCCCTCTCTCCCGTGACACCTCTTCCTCCCCGCTTGCGCTTGGCGAAGCCCTGCCGGGATCCCGCTACTTCCACCACCACGCCGTCGTGCTGCTGGATCTCCATCAACCTCTCCTCCCCTTGCTGGATCAAGAAGGAGGAGATGTCTCTCCCAACCGTATGTGTGTTGAACGCGGAGGTACCGTCTATTCGGCGCTAGGATCGTCGGTGATTTGGATCACGACGAGTATGACTCCATCAACCCCGTTCACTTGAACGCTTCCGCTTAGTGATCTACAAGGGTATGTAGATGCACTCTCCTCTCTCTCGTTGCTAGTCTCTCCATAGATAGATCTTGGTGATTCGTAGGAAAATTTTGAATTTCTGCTACGTTCCCCAACAATGCTTAGGTTTCAGTTTTTCCAATTCTCCCTTTTTGCTGCATCTCCTTGATGACCCACAAGTGTATGGGATCAATCATAGTCCTTTTGATAAGTAAGAGTGTCGAACCCAACGAGGAGCAGAAGGAAATGATAAACGGTTTTCAGTAAGATTTTCTCTGCAAGCACTGAAATTGTAGGTGATAGATAGTTTTGTGATAAGATAAATAGTAACGAGTAACAAGTAAATAAAATAAGTAAAGTGCAGCAAGGTGGCCCAATCCTTTATGTAGCAAAGGATAAGTCTGGACAATTTCTAATAATGAGAAAGGAGCTCCCGAGGACACATGGGAATTATCGTCAAGCTAGTTTTCATTACGTTCATATGATTCGCGTTCGGTACTTTGATAATTTGATATGTGGGTGGACCGGTACTTGGGTACTGCCCTTACTTGGACAAGCATCCCACTTATGATTAACCCCTATTGCAAGCGTCCACAACTACAAAAGAAGTATTAAGGTAAACCTAACCATAACATTAAACATATGGATCCATTACAGCCCCTCACGAAGCAATGCATAAACTAGGGTTTAAGCTTCTGTCACTCTAGCAACCCATCATCTACTTATTACTTCCCCATGCCTTCCTCTAGGCCCAAATAATGGTGAAGTGTCATGTAGTCGACGTTCACATAACACCACTAGAGGAAAAGACAACATACATCTCATCAAAATATCGAACGAATACCAAATTCACATGACTACTAATAGCAAGACTTCACCCATGTCCTCAGGAACAAACGTAACTACTCACAAAGCATATTCATGTTCATAATTAGATGAGTAATAATATGCATAAAGGATCTGAACATATGATCTTCCACCAAGTAAACCAATTAGCATCAATTACAAGGAGTAATCAACACTACTAGCAACCCACAGGTACCAATTTGTGGTTTGATACAAGATTGGATACAAGAGATGAACTAGGGTTTTGAGAGGAGATGGTGCTGGTGAAGATGTTGATGGAGATTGACCCTCTCCCGATGAGAGGATCGTTGGTGATGACGTTGATGATGATTTCCCCCTTCCGGAGGGAAGTGTCCCCGGCAGAACAGCTCCGCCAGAGCCCTAGATTGATTCCGCCAAGGTTCCGCCTCGTGGCGGCGGAGTTTCGTCCCGTAAGCT